TTAATGTGTGCGTGTCTGTCGTCAGCTTTAACCTGTGCTTGCTTTCTCTTTGGAAGCTGTTGTACATATACAGTGCAATGATCACGTTTTATCAGCGCCAACAAACGTTAATGCATGCACAGGTACTTACTTTTATAGTTACTTAGTCGGGTGCATAATTAATGTCCGATTAACAATTATTGATTAAAATAATAATTTATCAAACACTCCGCATTAATCGTGAGTCTTAATCTACAATAGCTCGCTCATCAACAACACGAATGCAAAGACAAAATGAAATAATATAATGTATCTTCAGATTCCAAGATCCAACACTGCGCCGAACAATTGCAACCACCAAGATGCTTAACTGTGATTGTAAGTTTGAGAGTCGCATTTACAGATGTGAAGCACCACGTAACAAAAGATGGTTATTCTTCTGCAAACGAAATAGTGAAATACAACACAAAGCGAGAAAAAAAACGAAGACTGTAGGGACACTCGACATAAAATTTTTCGACTTTACAAAGGACAAATATCGTTTTTTAAATGTATTTTTTATTCATTTGCATGAATGCCTATATTTCATAGTACCCCTAAATTTACAAGTGGTCGGTGTTCTGTTGACATTAATCTACGGCGTGCTGATGAGGCCCAAAGAAATTGAAATCGCGATCCGACAAATCGCTGACCAAGAACATTTGTTTCTAGTTTTTATAAACAAAGCAAGAATTTATCAAATAGTAGGTAAGTACGTATGACAAATCAATTATTCTAAGCATTTAAGGAATCTAGTACAGATAATTCTTTGTGTAACGTATTTCATATCACAAATTTGTAACAAGAAGAACAAGAACTTTACCAGATTTTATACTTATACAATGTAGAATAAAAATTGTCTTGTAATTTTTTGCTTGTGTTAAAGATTCAATTATGTTCGTGATATTAATTTCCTAATTTACAATTTTACGTAAACAGGTTGATAAATAATAATCATTTTACTGTCACGAAGTACACGCAGCTTTTAAGTGAAATCTATTGGATTAACAGTAACTATACTGCTTTTAATAGTGTATGTGATCGTCACAATCACGACTGATGCTATTACCTAACAGCAAATTGCATGATATTTACAGTGCATAGTATAATTTCATTAAAATACTAAATGCTAAAACTAAAAATGATTCCTAATTATATTATTGTAATCTTTTCGATCTCAAGTGGAATTGTTAAGTAACTAATAATCTTTCGGAGGATTTTAATTGCCATGCATGAATACATACCCGGTTCATATTAAAAAAAAATAGTTTATAACTTCTGTTCCTTTGGCGCGAACGCCCTGTATCATTAACAGTAGGTGTTGAAAGAACTGAACTGAATAAAGTACAATAATCAGCTGTCAGGGCCGGGGGCGCAATCAAACGACTCCTTATGTGCATTCATGCTGACCTGCACTAATAATAAAAGATAACAAGGCAAGGATATAAAGACGTGCGAATGTGGAACAGTAGCGGCACGGCACGACCGACGAGGTGAAATTATCAAGATAATGGCGGAAGGCCCGCGGGCGACCTACTGGTTTTGAATACCTTATTAAAAATCCACAACAACGAAAAAGAAAAAGAATGATAATAAAGGAACGCGTATAGTAGTTGTTAATCCCGTCGGCCAAAAAACGTCGACATTCACATTCCGTTCCGAGAGTAGAAAATGAGAGAGTACACTCCTGTATAGAGAAGGAGACGAAGGAAGAATGGGAAATGCTGGAAACACAGGAAATCCATTACGTTGAAAAAGTGGCTCAAAGTGTTGAGAGTCTCTCAAAGTACCCACCTAATGATAGACAGTTTACTAAAATATGATACCTGCAGGAAACACTGCACCGCGAATTGAAAGCGAACAGGATAGAGCCAAAGCGCAAATTACGTAGGGTAGTTATAAAACAAAAGCCGATCTACATAATTTATCACACAATTACAGATAAAAAGTAATGCCAATACAGGAATACTTCACCTAGGCAAATATTCTCACTTACCTATGTTTAAGCCATAATTTTTATTATTAATCTGTTGACAGTCCTGCCTTATCCGAACATCAATTAACAAAAGAATTTTATGAATGCACAAATCCAAATACGAAATGAAACTCATGAAATCACAACGGAAAAGTCGAAGTGCCAAGAAAATTGTATTTATTTGAAAGAGTCTTTAAGTTGGTAATATTAATAATAATCTAGAAAAGTTGAGCATTTTTCGTAAAACTCGATGATCGAAGTTCTACACTAATCAATCAAAAGTTACTTTTGCTTCCTCTTTCGTTTATGTTTCCTAATAGCATCATGAAAAGTAAAATTTTTTTAAGCATATTTTGGAATAGCCTCTCCGGTTATTATTTAGAATGTCTCATATATAACAGATCAATTAGATTAATACGATCTAATTCATAGGATTTCAGTTTCTTACTGTGGCATTTGTCCAACTTGCCACATTGGAATTGTGCCATAACGCAGGGGCACCAACCCCATACATATTTTGAAATGCATAGATTAAATCAAATAAAGCTCATATTTCTAAACACTTATTGTACTGCAGGCGAAACCGCGACTGTGACCGATAGTTTCTTTATAATAAGTATATGATGATACTACCTAACACTAACTACATTTTAAAGCGTTTTGACAAGATACACCTATATGTTGTATTTAATACAGTAATTACTTATTTTGTTGTAATAACGAAAAGATTACTTTCATTATCGTGAGAAAAATAAGCGAAAGTTTCCGTGTTACAAACTAACTGAAAACGTCATGGTGAACTTTTGAGCCCTCGGCGATTGTTAGGAGATTGCTTTTAAGGTAACGTAAAAAAACTAATTTGTAAGTGAAAGGGGCTTATATCGACTTGCTAAAGTAAGTAGGTATAAATTCCTTTTATTCGTGCTCACAACTTCCTGACTACTTTATAAACTTAGATTTAACCAGAGTTTTAATATACAAGTAAACTGCCAATTACCTGTTTACAGTTCAATGAAGTTTTAAAGATTGCAGACTAAATTGAATTATAAAGGTTCGTTCGGAATAGGCGAACAGAGACCGCGAACAACATTAAGAGTATTTTAGTTGAGGCCACATTTTAGGTATTAGCTTCGGCAGTCGTCAGCTATGGTGATCGAATTCCATCGGTCCCTTTGTGTATAATAAATCGATTTATTGATTAAGGGTTTCACTGATCAAAGCCTGTCACCACTCGCAAAATCTGGTGGTCAAAACGTCTATAAAATATTGTACCCGAAGGATAGAGCCTGCGTTTAGGTGTAGCTCCAGCAAACGTCGGTTATAACAATCGAATTTCGTTGGTTCCTTTGTCGTCATTACAACCGGATCTTATTGTAATTTGCCTACTAATTCACCTTAACCGAAGACCCAAAATACTTACAACGTTTCGAGTGTATATGACGTGAAAAGCGTCAAGATGTTTTTGATTCCTAAGAACAGATGAATTAGTTTAAATTATAGTACGAATGTATGCAGTTTTCCAATTATATATGTGTTCAAAACCGACACAGATGGTTAAACTTGCACGTTTTGTCGCAAGAATAGCCGACAAATTGTCATGCTCGACACAACCCCCTTAACGTTCGTCGTAAAAATTGAACTTCACCGAAAAATAACAACGTTTCGTCAAAAATACGTGATGTGCCCGAACCTGTACAAGAACCTCATCATCATCGTGTATCACGCGCTAACGCGAAAAAGGCATTTATTGTAGCTGCCTTCAACTCTTTGCATTCACGTATTTCCAAAATTTGTACAGCAATCCGCAAACTAAATGAGTCAAGTGATAAACATTCACCACCTACTACGCATACTGAGCTTTGATTATAAGTATTTAGAAGGCAGAAAGCGTAAGAGGGGAGAGCTTCACTCAACTTAACGTGATCTATGCCATGACTTTTGCGTTTATGGCTAATGCTCTTATCAAGAACTTAACTTAAGATAATATTTTGGTATTTTATATTGCCATCCATGATCATCGTAGGCTCTTTATACCAAAANGCCATGACTTTTGCGTTTATGGCTAATGCTCTTATCAAGAACTTAACTTAAGATAATATTTTGGTATTTTATATTGCCATCCATGATCATCATAGGCTCTTTATCCCAAAATTTGATTTTAGACACACACGTCCTCGTATCAATAAAAAGGAAGCTTTCTGCCAAATCCAGTTGTTGTGAGAAAAAGAGCTAGGATGAAGTTAGAAGTTACATCATCCAACCCCAATATAAACCATGACTTTTGAATCCGTGTCTAGGTTAATCTAAATGCGATTAGATTATTTACCTACTGTAAGTGGTACATGGAGTTCACCCAGATATCCCGACGAAAACTGATAATTACACTAAGAAAATCCCTCTCCACAATCCTTTTGATGCTTACTGTAGAGAAGGTAGAAAAAGGAAGAGAAAATTCCCGTTGAGACTTACCTGCACCTCAGAAAATGTGCGGAGCACTCCTTCTGGCATCTTTGTCTCTGGTGGCACTCAGCAAACGAGTCACGCGCGATGCAAACGGTAGCATATCGTTAGCTCTCCGCACACAACACTTTGATGTTCACGACAACGACGACGGCAGCACACGGGTGCACCTTCACCACCGCCCGACCGCGGCACGTACCGGTGCCGGTGTCACAAGTGCACCACGTCTTTTCCCGGAGAACACTCACGAAACGCTACTAACGCGTACGGAAACAATCACTAGGTATAATAATAGCTTGTGTCTTTTAATTTAGCATCGTCATTAAAAATGACGCTGATTTCCGAAACGCTAGTACCACTTCCTCTTTGGAGGGTATTTTTTGACTCGATCATCAGACGCTGACTGGCCGAGTATAAAAGATGACGAACGCTCTTTCTCGACACGATGATGTTTCGTGTTTGTTATGGTGGCAACGTGTTCGGGTTCCACACACGTACGTTCCTATAAAAAAAAAGGCAGACGACGTGCAGTTTTATGGCCTTTTTATTAGCAACGACTGGTCCTCGTGAACAGGAACAACTGTAAAGAAAAATATTCAAATGTTGTCAACTTTCGTCACATAATGCACACAAAGACATTAACGAGAGATTAAAAGAAAAATTGTAAAACAAAGAATTTGGTCATTTGGTACGCATCTACATGGTGATGTTTCATATTAAAATTTTTAATGACGGCAACGTTAATTTAAATAACATCTAAATGATGAAATGTGTAACGGTAAACAGGCACTTAAAATAAATTACGAAGGGTGAAGAACTCCATAAGCTATAGATACCTACTGTATTACAGTTATTGCTTGGATAGGTAGAACCTAATTTTTGTAGAAATAAATTGTTGTTAGGAATTTTAAACACGAAGCGTGTACTTGTTATGCAACTAATTAGTCGAAATTTATGTAGGTAATTAATAATAATTAAGTAGTAGTTTGAAGGTCGCGGGTGCATGTACCTTATATCACATTAAATGCCTCAGAATTTCCGTTCTGATACGACTGATACATGTAAAATGCTTGCCATAAAAATACTTGTATTTTTGTGAACCCTTTACCTCAAAAAATCCGAGTTCTTGCACATAACTTACAGTAGACTATTTTGAGTAAAATAAACAAAAGGCATCAGAGGTCTGTTAAGTTAAAAACAAGCAATGTAAAAATTATAAAGGAAATGGAAATGTTAATGTTTCAATAAATAATTTCGTATTGTATAAAGTGGTGTTTAATAGACAGATATCTAAACAACGAAACGATGGGCTAGTTTCGCGATGACTCTAAACTCAACTACTACAGGCAGACAACACGCATACTTATGCACTATGTCTAATCAGTATTCCAGAATATTTTAAAGGTACTGTCTGGAGGTACTGTAAAGTGCGTCTCGTGATAGCACCACATGGTAAGGGCTGTAAAAAGTATCCACAAATGACCCCAGTGAACGAGTCGTCAATGACTGGGAACATTTGCCGCGTTACCTTACCGCCTTTCGTTATCGCAAGCGTCAACTAACGAAACACGCATACCTATTGGTGACCCTCGCAAATGCTGTTACGTAGACAGGTCAATTGTACGTAATGATTAGTAATAATTTTTACTCGTTAGCGTTTGATTGATAATGTATAACGATTATATGACCAGCCTATTTCGACATTCTTTTTAAGAATGTCAGGGACCCTTACTTCAATCAAGATGGAATCTTGGTTATACCTTTTAGTTCTCACCCACACCAAGAGCAAAAAATTGCTATGAACCACATAACTAGACCACGACATCCGGCTGGACTTCTCCTTGCCTTAATAAACTCAGAACTGGAATATCGTCGTTTTCATTTTGATGTTATGAAGGATCCATTAAAGCATGATATTTCTAAGATATTCCTCTACTTTCGAGTAGCTTTACTAAAAACAAGATTCGAGGAACTTTATGATTCTTTTTAAAAATATTCAATAAACAGCAAAAGTTGCTTATTAGGTACATTTTATTAACTTCTGCTTCATCTGAATACCGTTGAAATGGATTCAATTACTAAGGCGCAATTCATTTCGCGAAAATGAATGAACGAATAACTTTCTCTGTCTATGTTCTTTGACAAATTACCTTCAATAATTTAGATGAAAAAGTTCGTGGAACGTCAGGTACGATTTAAATATTATATCAGATACTTTCACTACATTCTATCATACCAACGCAATGAGCGCGTGTAATGGGAGCGACGATGAAACAATTTGTCGCGATAATGATCGGAAATATCTGAGCATTTAAACCATTTCAAATATAGAATACCAACCAAATTGTTGTACTTTCTTCATCACTATCACAACAGACCACTTTCCTTAGAATCAAGTATTTGAAGTATGAAATCAAAACATGATTGTCATCAAATGAGAGCGACGTCGTTGGTACATGTAAGGGTGAGAATCATGAAGTCAACAAAGATGGGGTGCTGCATTTGTAATGGATGCGACCGCGGCCCCACAATACATAAAACTAAATGAAAAGCGTTTTCGCGATATCTACTGTGATGTGGTACATGTGCTCTAAGAACACTCCTGATAATGGCATCATCATTGTTTGCGCGGTGCAACGTTTGACACTTCGCGCGGTGCAACGGTTCGACGGTGCGCGGTGCAACGATGATTTCGTAGTCGTACGAATGACGTCCGCTCTCTAGTCATCAGTATCAAAATTAAAGGATACACACCCTATACATGAAATACAGCATTCGTTTATGTAAAAAAATCGATAATGTGAACAACTGGTTCACACTACCGAGTATCCATTGAAAGTAGCAGCAATTTCATGTAATGTCACATTATAATGAACTGTTGTAATATTTACTTTCATACTATTTTCATTCTTAATTATCATGCAAGTATTTCCATCTTTGTCCTATCTCAAAAACAGTCTCACAAGAAAACCTGTTAGTTAATTAGTTGCTAATTTTTGTTGTACATTATACTAAGGGGCTACAAAGTAATAATTCACTCTCCAAATTTTGCTGAAATTGAGGTCTGTAAATTATAATAATGAACACGTGAAAACACATAATCTTTTGTCATGTTTAACCTTAAATATGTCAGTGCTGCATTGTTAAACAGTTACTTTAACTCTCGGAATGCGACCGTGACTCACACTAAAATATGCATCACGTAATAAATTGTAAATGTACAGGATGATACACAACGTAAGATCAATGAACGAACACATGTAATTACCCAAAATTGGAGTATTTACCGAAAGAATACATATATCAGATAGAGCTATGAATATCATTATTTGTAGAGCATGTTACCTGTATAAAGCAAAACAGATAAGCATCTAACACAAAGCGCAAATTGTGTTCTGGTAGTGGTAAAATAAACTTGGATATAAGAGTTTATCAGGGTTATGCAGATATTTATTTTAAAAAATAGTATTAAGGGAATACCGGGTTATTTGAAGACTGCTGTAGTGTTTTTCTCTGTATTCTAAGAGGACCCTCTCAGTTTTTACGCTATATGAAAGTATAGTCTCAATAACCTTTGGATAGATTGTAAATGAGTGCTCATTATTCATAAAATCTTTAGACGAATTGTAAATGAGTCTATTATTTTAGTTAAAACATCAAAGAACTCGACTAATGCTATTAATGATGAAATTTTATTAATTACAAATTTATTTAGTCTATTTTCCTTACTCATTAAACTGTAGAAAAAGGAACACTTTAATTGTGTTTGGGCGAAATTTACTCCTACAACTGATCGTGTTTATTGCAGTATTGAAATAGTTACCTACCTAATTAAGTATCATATTTAAAAATGAGACTCAGACTATTGTAAAATTACAATTTTGTGTTAATTAATATTAATTGCTCTATATGTAAATAATCGATTTTCAGTGTTCTTCAATTAACAATGTGTGACAACCTGTATTTGTGTGCTAATACGTATAATGGACATTTTCAAAGCTGGCGTACTGGAAACGACGATACATCCAGTACCAAGGTTAATAAAATATGTGCAGATAAACAATAACGAATGTAAAATCATACGTGCGTTAATCTGCTTCAACATTAATAATTAGTATTTCTAAGATTTTTATAAATCAATATCCTGTAATAAGAGTGTATAAGAGATGAGTGTTCAATGGCTCGCAGGAAAAGAATAAATCGAGATTACAGAATAACTTCTGACTACTGACTGCTTACTGCTTACAGTCCATGAGTCCACACGGTTAATGATTTTCAAACTTTTGATGCTCAATTTGCGATAGCTCTCACGATGCACAACCCACTTTATACACATGGACGAGTTATACTGAAGACGAAGCGTATCTTTCTCTCTCTCTCTATCTAAAGAGGTAAATGAGGCAAAGCATTGAACAAGAAATAAACTCGATTAACGTGACATGTTAAGATGAGCACAATTAATAAATCGCTGATGCCACTGTATTTGTCGTTAAAAATGGCAGTTGAATTGAGGATGTAAATATTAACTGCATTTATACGGGTTTCTCTATTATGGAAATCACGACTCATTTCGCGCTCTGTCACAGACGATTACATAAATGAAAAACTACTTCAAGTGGAAATTTATAATTTGGCGTACTTTCCAGGAATTAGTTCTCACAAGGACATTAATAGAGAACATTATTGCACGGAGAGGAAATGTAGGGGTAGGAAGAGAGAACAGAAATTGAAAGCATTTAAGACAGGTACATAAGATGGATTTCAAAACTAGATAGAAATACACAAAAATACCAGTTACAAGAAAGAAAAACGGAAAAATTGGTCACAAAATATCGGTAAGTGGTTAAGGTCACTATGCGATTTCGTGATAATTAATATAACTGTTCCCAGGGGTCAGCTGTGATATTGTTTACATTATTACAAGTAATTAAAATGTTTTTATCGGTAAATCAAGTTATTCAATTTATTTAATCAACCCCTAAATCTCAAAATTTTGCATCCTCTGCACTAATGACATTTTACTTTTATTTCAAGTAACATTAATAGACACCGCGTCATTTGCCTTTCCCGCATATTACGTGCGCTCAGCGACATTCCTTCGGTTTGTTACAGATGTAACATTAAACGTCCCAGAAGCTTAGAAGCTAAATTTAATAATATAACAACTTGCTTTGCAGAGGCTCGCATTTATTTTGAGAAAAGCTGATGGTATATCTGTGCTTGAGGAGATCATGAGAGACTTCTAACGGCGCACATAGCAGGGGAAGAGAAAAGAAGCTGAAGTTCTTTCAAATAAATTGATTTTTCATCATCATGAGATCGTCAGTCTGATTGGACATGCACTTCTACTCCTTCCTATCCTGAGCTAATCTTTGCATTTCCCTAAAACTAGAACATCCCACGTCCTTAATGATTTGCGAACAGTTATCTAATCTAGGCTTACCTCTTTCTCTTAACTCCTACCAACTTATCTCGTCTATTTCTTATTGACTTCCATAAAGTCCTCTGTTCTCCTATTCTTTCTAATACCTCTTGATTTCTAACCTTCTCTATCCACGGTATCCTCATCATGCGCTGGTA